CCCACCACCACCATTGATATTGCTTTCCCTATGAGATTATCTTCAATTTTACATAGATGATAGATAGATAAACATACAGATAGATAGATAGATAGATGGTTGGATGGATAGATGGACAAACAGACAGACAGATAGATAAATTTTCAAAGCACTTTACATGTATCACTAGTACCTCACCCAGTGCCTGGCACAAAGCAAGTGTTTAATAGATGCTTGATGATTGTATAGCATCTACTCTAGAATAACTTTCCCCAACTCCCACTCAAAATGGCAGATTGGGTTCCCCCAGAGGGCAATGAGTACCATTCTCTTCAGAGGCTTAGGAGTAAACATCGGGGTTTGTGATATTGTAATGCTATCACTCATGAGTCCCTGATATTGATTACCCAGTTGACATTGATTGGTTTTTACAAAGGAATATTTCCTTAGAAGTTATAGCAAGGATAGAAGTACAAATAATAACCTCCCCCAAAAAATAGGGCCATCCTCTTCCCTTTGTGTATATTTGGTACCTGGAATGAGTAAGTTCAAACTTTGAGTCCAAAGTAAGTGAGGCACCCATTATTTAAGGAATATGTGTGGCCAAGGGGTACTATTAAGCCTGGGAGTCCTTTTCTCATTTCATGGAGTCCCCTCCACCTTCATTTCTTGATGTGGATGCATTGCTCCCTTACACAGCAAGGTTAGCACCTTGAAAGACTCAGTGTCTCAACTGCCAGGTCAAACAAGGTCCTCAAGGCTGAGTTTTCACCAACTGTGGCTACTACCAACTTTGGTCACTAAGGCAACTCTGTCTCCAGATAATCATTCACCTTCACCTAAAAATCAGGGAAAAAAAATAAACACACACACACACAAGCATAATGCACCCAAGGACACATAGTGACTGGGTAGGAGATAAGGCAGCCCATCCCATTTAGTAGCTTACAACTGTCCTCACTCAAAAGTCTCTAAGGAAGAGAGAAGCATAATAAGGGCAATCCTTTTATAGTCAAATGGAATTTGGGTGCTATCATCGGTCCTTTCAGCTGCAGAGCCGACCAGAAAATTCTTCCTTATGACATATCACCAGCCCCTCTATCCTTCGTGGCCTAAAGAAGGCTCCCCAGAGTTCCTTGGGATTGGATTGAAACCAAGATGGTAACAAGCATAGACTTTAAGGACTGGGTCCTTGTTGGTCAGTCAGCCATTACAAATTAATGCCTAGGAAGAGGAGTGATTGCTTTCCTTACAGAGACCTGGAACCTTCCTTAAAGCCCTACTGCAATGCCTTGTTATGATGCAAAAGTGATCCTGGGTTCCTTAGGTCTATATCAGAAGAACATAAGTTCTAGAAGTCTTATCAAGTTACTTTTAAACAAATTTTTCCTTGTAATGTGGAAAACGAAGCTTAGGGATGATTGTGAAAGAAAGGCACTCATCTCTGCATTCACATGAGGAGTCTAAGTTAAGAAGCAGATATTTTGTTTTATGGATAGAAGTGCTCAATGGCACTAAATTAAGGTTAAACTATCAAAGGATCTGTCAAGGGAACATTCCATGCAAAAATGGGCACGATAAAAGACAAAAAATGGTAGGGACTTAACAGAAGCAAAAGAGATTAAGAAGAGGTGGCAACAATACATGAAAGAACAATACAAAAAAGATCTTTAAATCACTAATAACTATGATTGTGTGGTTATTGATCTAGAATCATACATCTTAGAGAATGAAGTCGAGTGGGCCTTAGGAAGCATTACTAACAATGCTAGTGGAGATGATGGAATTCCAGCTGTGCTATCTAAAATCTTAAAAGATGATGCTGCTAAAGTGAAGTACTCAATATACCAGCAAATTTGGAAAACTCAACAGTGGCCACTAGATTGGAAAAGATCGGTTTGTTTCCCAATCCTAAAGAAGGGCGATGCTAAGGAATGTTCAAATTACCAAACAATTCCACTTATTTCATACACCAGCAAGGTTTTGCTTAAGATTCTGCAAATTAGGCTTTAGCAATATGTGAACTGAGAATCACCAGAAGAGCAGGTTGGTTTTCAAAGAAGCAGAGGAACTAGAGACTAAATTGCCAACATTCGCTGGATTAGGGAAAAAGCAAGGGAGTTCCAGAAAAACATCTACTTCTACTTCATTGGCTACATTAAGCCTTTCACTATGTGAATCACAGAAAAATGTGGCAAATTCTCAAAGAGACGGGAGTACCAGATCACCTTACATGTCTCCTAAGGAACCTGTATGCAAGCCAAGAAGCAAGAGTTAGAACTGAATGTGGAACAACTTATTGGTTTAAGATAAAAAAGGAGTATGCTAAGGCTATATATTGTTATCTTGTTTGTTTAAATTATATGCAAAGTACATGACGCAAAATGCCAGGCTGGGTGAATCAAAAGACGGAGTTAAGGTTGCCAGGAGAAATATCAACAATCTCATGTATGCAGATGATACCACTCTGATGGCAGAAAGTGAAGAAGAATTAAGAAGCCTCTGATGACGGTAAAAGAAGGGCGTGTAAAAGCTGGCTTGAAACTTAACATCAGAAAAAACAAAGATCCTGGTAACTGGTCCCATCACTTCCTGGAAAATATAAGGAGAAGAAATGGAAGGAGTATCAAAGTTTATATTCTTGGGCTCAAACATCACTGCAGATGGCAGCTGCAATCACGAAATTAAAATATACTTTCTCCTTGGGAAGAAAGCTGTGGCAAATAAGTACAGCATACTAAAAAAGCAGACACCACCTCACTGACAAAGGTCCATAAAGTAAAGATATCATTTTTCCAGTAGCTACGTATGACTGTAAGAGTTGGACTATGGGGACAGCTGAGCACAGCAGAACTGACGCTTCTGAATTGTGGTAATGCAGAAGACTTTTGAGAGTCCCTTGGACAGCAAGGAGATTAAAACAGTGAATACTTAAAAAAAATAATTCAGACTATTGTCTGGAAGGTCAAATGCTGAAGCTAAAACCTGGCCACATAACAAGAAGACAGGATCCATTGGAAAAGTCGCTGATGTTGGGAAAGATTAATGGCAAAAGGAGAAGGGGATGGTGGAGGAAGAGATGGATAGCGTTATGAAGGTAACAAACATGAGCTTGGACAGAAATTTTAAAACAGTAAAGTATAGAAGAACCTGGCGTGCTATGGTCCATGGGGTCACAAAAAGTCAGATATGACTGAACAATTGAAAAACAACAAATAGAGGTAACTAGAAGTATAGCTGCTTATCATCTGAATGTAGAATAGAGATTCTTTTTTCCGCCAAAGACAAGATTTATTAAAGATCCACCATATTGGCAAGACTCTTAAGGAATCTGAACATTAGTGAGCTATTGGCTAGGTTATGAGAATCTGAGCACCTTAATGGAGATGAGATGGACCTTATACACAGGAAGACTGTGGGAGGGATCTAGCACTGGCCAAGTAGTCTGGGGTGACTGAAGGAGGGGTCTGGAAGAAGGGGGTATCTTGACGGGTTGGGGTGACTAGAGGAGGGGTCTAGGGAAGATCTTGGTGGGAGTGACTGGGAGGTAGAATGGGGTCTAGATAAGATCAAGCAAGGGTAGGAAGTGGGACCATCTGAAGGTAATAAACAATAGAGGGCTAGGCTCAATTAAGGGTAACAAAGAATTGGGAGATTGGGTGTAGGCAATAAGGAAAAGCCAGCTGATAGGATTATAGCCTCAAACCAACAGCAGAGATTTGGCTGTGTGGGAAAGTCCAGGGCTTTTTCCTTTTAGGGGTTCAAATCCTATCCTCATCATTCCCTAGAATAGAGTTTTAATCTATGAGTGAGCAATGTCTCCCAGGATCGTTATATGTAGAAGGAAGTATAAAGGACCAAACATGGAGTCCTGGGCCAAGGAATAATCACATTTCTTTTTTGTCAAAAATTAGGAAGACTGCATGTTGTCATGGAAAGAGCTTTGGACTAAAGAAAGCAGAGTGAAAAAAAAAATACACAAGAACTACAATAACACAAATAAAATCAATCCATAAAGTCAATAAAACTATGGTCAAATACAATGGTCAATGTGATACTATCAAAATTAAAACATACATCCTTCCTTTCCAATAACAATCAATAAATTTTTGGCAGACTGCATTTTGGAGTAGGGACTGCTAAGGAAACTGATTGGGTCTTGTTGAGAAGTGTCCCTTTTGTTGACATAAAAGTATTTTTTTTCAAGAAATATCACTGTTATCTGGCAGACCCGGGTTCAAGTCTAGTATGCCACCTTGTGGATGTGTAATCTTGGGTAACAGGTCACATGAACAGTTAAGTGCTGAAGATGAAACTTGAATCCAGGACTTCTGACTCTTTCCTCTACACACACTGCCTCTAAGAGCATGGATAAAATGAAGGGATTAGGTGGGATGATCTCTAAGACTCCCTCTGATTCTAAAGTTCTATGAATCTGTAACTCTATAAATTATTTAACTGCTCTGTGTCCTTCAGTTTCCTCATCTGTAAAATAGAGAGGAAAAATCCTTATGAGGTCAGAATTATAGAATCAGTACCCACATTTGGAGATTAGGAAACTGAGGTACAGAGAGTTTACATGATTGAGCCATGATCACATAACTATTTAAGTGTAAGAGGCAAGACTCAGACCTAGATTTTCCTGCCTTCCCTCTGATAATTATTTCCTATTTATCTTGTATATAGCTTGCTTTGTATATTTGTTTCCATATTGTCTCCCCCAATAAATTGTAAACTCCTTGAGGATAAGAACTATCTTTTGCCTCTTTTTGTATCCCAGCACTTAGCACAGTACATGGGACAAATAAGGCATTTAATAAATATTTATTGATTGGCTAATTGATGGACATTATGTTCCGTATTCTATCCACAAAGCTGCACTGACTCTAAATTGCTAGATTTGCTATATAATATAAAATACAATTGTTATATAATATAAAAATCATACCATTATTTAAAATAAAGTATCAACCTTTTGAATTTTTTGTATTTATTTTAATCAATACTCATTTTTTCTATAGGAAGAAGTGGAAGAAGGCCGTGCCAGTATCTATAAATCTGTTATCACCAATACCTGCAAAGAAATGTCCTGTTTCAGCGACTTCCCAATGCCTGATGATTTCCCAAACTTCCTACGCAACTCTAAGCTCTTGGAGTATTTCCGGATTTTTGCCCAAAAGTTTCATCTCCTGAAATATATTCAGTTTCAGGTATTCTATATATTGGTGGAAAAGTCTTGTATATTTAAGTTCTGCTCATATTTAAATAGAGCTATGTTTTCTAATAGGATGCTATGAGGGGACAGTAAAGGCTTGGGGGGGAATTACTGAACTAGAAATAAGAAATGTCAGATCTGAATTCTGGTTCAGCCACTGTCCAGGTGTGCACCCATGCAGAACTCATTTCATCTTTCTTGTAGCAAAACTGGAAGTCTGGAAAGATACTGTTCCCTGTAAGAAAAATGCAAAAATTAGGAAGAAGGCATAACGAATTCCATTTTGAATATGTTGAGTTTGCAAGGTCTGTAAGTCTTCAGTTGAAAATGTCCAAAAGGCTATTGACAATGCAGGGGAGGAGCTCAGGAGAGATACTACAATTGGATCCTGAGAGAGAAAGAAAGGAAGTGAAAAGTAAGGCCATTCATGTAATTATAGTTTCCATTGTAGGAGACAATATTATATGGTGGCTTGAGCATGACTGGGACTAAGGAGACTAGTCTTTGCTCCACTGCTTGCTAATTTCACATTATTTCCCTTTTTAGGGCTCAGTTTCCTCATCTGTTAAAACGATGCTTGCACTATCTACTTCACAAAATTGACATGAGAATCAAATGAGGCAATTATGTGAAAGTGTAGGTAAATCACTCTACAAATGGTATTCTTATTCAGGTTATTACATACATTCCCACCAAAAGAGTTTAGCTTGACTTTCACTGAAAGTAATTATTTTAAAAATCATATAAATGGGCCATTTTTCTGCCCTCCATTTTCCATGAAGTGCTGCCTATGCGCGATGTCTTAGAAATCTGATGACTAAATCCATTCTTTAATCATTGTTCATGTTGGCATAATATGATGATTTTATAGAACACTTTGCAGCCTTCTCCACAATACCTCTATGAGGGTGATGCTACAAGCATGTTTATCACTCCCATTTTACAGATGAGAAAACTGAAGTTCTAGAAGGGTAAGTGGTTCATTCTCATTTGAGGAATCATAATACTAATGGCTCTCATTTCTGAAGTGCTTTAAGATTTAATAAAGTTTTTCATCAAAGTGATTCTGGAAGGTAGGTAGCAATTTAAGTAGAATAATGACTAATAAATTGGCAGAATAGCCACGTGCGTGCACGCACATGTACGCATACATACACACAACCAGATTAGAAACACAAAGAAGACTTTAAATTATAAGAATCAAGATTCCTCTAGATATTAATTACCAATACCCTGCATTAAGATTGAGCAGCTAATGAATTTATCCACTTATCCTTCAAAAGAGTTGGCATATATCAACAAATAGCAATGCATAATATATAGTTACTTAATAAATCATGAATGAATAAATGGACACATATATGAGGTTTTTTTAATTAAACAAACATCAATTACATGTGCATGGCACTATGCTAGATGCTATGAATACAAAGAACAAAATGGAGGCAGGGGGAGTCTCTGCCCTCATTAAGCTTACAATCCAGTGTGGTGGAAAACATGTAAAAGGCCCTATCTTAAGAGTAGAAAAAGATTCTGTAAATTTGCTATTGTATCATTTGCCAGAGAAGAGAATTCAGCCTAAAGCATCTACATCTTAGACCCTGTCCAAGCAGTTAAGGACACATGCATCTATTTTCTCTTTACATTATAAAAATTCATAGTTTCTATGTTTTTAAATGAATTACAGAAGTACAATATCAAAATTTTAAAATATATTATAAACATATAATACATTATAAATATCTTATATCTTTGAATAAATTGGATTAGAAGGGTGCGTAATATGCTGTCAATATTTTCAGAGGCAATCATGTTATTATGAAATTGTGTTGATAACTTTTCTAAAGTAATGAAATGGGAGGAGAAGGTAGAGGCAGGTCTGGATATGAGATTTCATGGGTGTGAAGAGCTCCCAGGCGAGGAAAATCCCTTCTCCAATGGAGATCAGCTACTTTTACTCTTCAAGTGTTACCAGGGGCACTGAAATGTTGCATGGTTTGCCAAGGGTCATATAGCTAGTATGTGCCAGAGGCAAGACTTTAACCAATAGCTTATGGACTCTGAGGCCAGCCTTTTATGTGATAAACAACCCTGTTGTTGTTATTCAGTCGTTTTTTAGTCATGTTTTACTCTTTTTGTGACCCCATTTGGGGTTTTCTTGGCAAAGATACTAGAGTGGTTTGCCATTCCATTCTCCAGCTCATTTTATTTCTGAGGAACAGGAGGCAAACAGGGTCTTAAGTTACTTGCCCAGGGTCACACAGATAGTAACTGTCTGAAGCCAGTTTGAACTCAGGAAGATGAGTCTTCTTGAGCCACCTAGCTGAACATGTAACCCTGCCTCTTTGTAATATATAATGCAAGTCACAAATAAATGTTAAATACCACTTAGATACCTAAGAAACACTGACTCCAGAGTCAGAAGCCCACAGCTGGAATCCCACTCTGCCATTAACCACCTGAGTGACCTTGAACACATCACTGAATCTCTTAGGACTTCACTCTCTTCACCTGCAAATGAGCAGATTGGTCTCAATGGTCTCTGAAGCCTCTTCTAGCTCTAAATCCTGTGGTAGGGCCAGGGGTCAGCTTAGGTTGGAGGCTGACTTTGAAGGGCTACTTAATGCTTTGTAATTATCTGGCATAATGGATAATAGAGTACTTTATAAATATTTAGTGCTGCCAATATCACTATAAGATACGTAGTTCCTCAGAGCTTTAAACCAATAACCAGGAAAAGAGAAGTGCTTGTGCTCTCCCTCTGTTTCTCTCTGTCTCTCTCTGTCTCTCTCTGTCTCTCTCTGTCTCTCTCTCTGTCTCTCTCTGTCTCTCTCTCTCTCTCTCTCTCTCTCTCTCTCTCTCTCTCTCTGTCTCTCTCTCTCTCTCTCTGTCTCTCTCTCTCTCTGTCTCTCTCTCTCTCTCTCTCTGTCTCTCTCTCTCTCTCTCTCTCTCTCTCTCTCTCTCTCTCTCTTTCTTTCTCCTCTTCTCTCCTCTCTGTCATCTCACTTATCTCTACTTATCTCTCCTCTCCTCTTTTCTCTTCCCTTCTTTTCTCTTCTCTCTCTCATATTGTTCTGATTCTTTCTCCCTTCTCTTCTCTCTCCTCTCCTCTCTTCTTCTTCTTCTTCTTCTTCTTCTTCTTCTTCTTCTTCATCAGTAAAGAGAGTGCTCATACCAATGAAACCATGGCTCTTTCAAATATGAAAACACCCAAGTAGCATTCTACTTTAACAAGATGTGTGTACTGTATAGTAATTATTTCTTAAGGCTTTTGCTCTTTAAAAGTCTCTTTGCCTATCAAACCAGGCAAAGGGCTGGCCATTGTTTGTGGATTGTTACTGTCTCTCTAACCAGAATTTAATCTCCTAAAGGAACAAGCCATTACTTTCTTATCTTTACATCTCCGCCAGGTCTTACTTAATATAAGCAAACACCACACAGTCATTAACTTTTGATTAAAAGAGTAATTCCCACTGCACCACTATTTGTTGAAGTATTGCAAAATGCTAGCCTTTTAAAAATCTAATAAATAATCTATATATGATGACCTTACTCTTGGGTCAGTAATAAACTATATAACCTTGGGCAAATAATTTCACCACTCTTTGCTTGTCTTTCTTCAGGGTTAAAGTCAACAGTTCAATCTAGCTTTTGTTCTTTAGCTTTTGGGGGTCATGGACTACTTTGGTAATCTGATAAAGCCTATGGGCACCTTATCAGAATGTCATTTATTGTTTGTTTGTTTGTTTTTTAGGCAATTGGGATTAAGTGACTTACCCAGGGTCACATAGCTAGTAAGTGTCAAGTGTTTGGTCTGAGACCAGATTTGAACTCAGGGTCCTCCTGACTCCAGGGCCAGTACTCTATCCACTGTGCCACCTAGCTGTCCCCAGAATGTCATTTTTAAATGCATAAAATAAAATACATAGAATGACAAAGAAAAACAGTTGTATTGAAATAGCTGTCAATTTTTTTAATAAAAAAAAGTTCACGGATTCTCCCAATTAAGAATCCCTCTACAGGATGTTCTCTGAGATCCCTTCTTGTCTAATATTTTAAGAATTGAGAAGAGCTTATTCATCAGTCTCTTTCCTAATCAATCTGAAATTAACTCTGATAAAAAGATATCAGACCTTTACATCACTTCCTCCCACCAGAATAGCATGAGGTACACTTCAGCACTTATTAATTACCTACTATATACATGAAATTATGCTAGGCACTGAGGATGCAAAGATGAAAAGAGGCATGGTTCTTGCCCTCAAGGAAGTTACAATCTAGTATAATGACTGTATCCACATCATTATAAATAAAGGTAGAGTATAATGGAGCAATGGAGAGATTCAGGCTCCTTCTAAGGAAGGAGTGGTTATTTCTATTTCCCCTAGGCTTATTTCCCTTCTCTCTGCCTTCCTTCTGATATTACCTCAAATTTACACTATTTATATCTTACATGTAATATTGTTGTTTGCGTGTTCTCTCACCCATTAGAATGTGAATTCCTTGAGGTCAGGGACCATGCTTTTGGCTCTTTGCATCCCCAGGACTTAGCACAGTGCCTGGCAAATAGTAGCCATTCATTTAATGTGAGAAAGCCCCCTGGAAGAGCTGGCACCTCAGCTGGTCCTAGAAAGAAGAGAAGCATTTCAACTAGTGGAAGAAGGTGTAGGAGACCATACTAGGCATGAGGTGCATCCTTTGTAACTGCTGAGAGGTCACAGAGGGGAGGATGAGATCACATAGCACTTAGTAGACTAGTCTTCCTGGAACTTAGAATGAATGGAGGGGAATAGTGTGAAATAAAGCTAGAAAGGTATGGCTTGGAGTAATATCTTGGAGGGTCTTAAAATCCAGGCTATGAAGTTTGTTTTGATCTTATATGCCAGAGGGAACCACTGAAGATTGTTAAGCAGGGCAACAGTGCAATTAGAGTAATCAACAAGCATTTATTAAGTGTTTATGATGTGCCATGTACTGTGTTAAGAGATGAGAATA